CGTGTCTTGTGGAACAATAGGGCTTTCATGGCCTTCCCTCCCCCGAGGGTAAGCATCCTACCCCACGGAAGAAGTAAGTATCAATACTGAGAATGCCTGGAATTCTGCACTGGGACTGATTATTAAGAATCATTACACTAAATTATTCTACAAATAATTTAGAAATTGGCAGTTCCATAAAAATAACAACAAAGAAGTCCTTCTGCAAGGTATAGGACAATGGTGTCTTCTCAGTCTTAGAGCTAGATGGGAACTGGCTTGCCTTCAAGACATAGCCATAAGTAAGAACAGCCTTGAGATTACCTACAGAATACCTTCATAAGGCTCAGAATGGCTGGGATCAGCTTTTTGTCAATGACAATCCTCCACCTACAAGCCAGATAGGGCGTAATTCAAATGCTCTGTGCTTCAATAGACTGTCATCTGGTGATCAAAGTTGTTTTCCGGCATCGAGAAGGAAATTTATTTTGGTATGTATAATACAGCAAAGTATCTTTGAAAACATTTTAATATAATTTTGGCATAGAGTAGTGGAATTTGAATGTGCAAACAAAATTTAAGAATCTGCAGAGAAATACAATTTAACAGCAACTTAAAAAAAGCAAACATACTTTTAGCACAAAGAAATATATCAAGCAATGACAGTCCTTCCCAGAAGCACTGTACCTACACATGTAAGAAAGGATCTATTTTGTTAAGAAAGAGTTACATAAAATTCTCAGAGAAGCATCTAAGAGTTATACATCCAGTCAGACTTAGACGGGGGAGAGACTGAAAATGCTCCAAGTCCTTCTACTAGTAGAATTAAAAGCAGCTTAAATGGAGGTCAGCACTAAACATTCTGAAAGACCAATCTGAACTGGGGTCCCCAGTACAAGAAAGACATGGACCTGTTGGAGCGAGTCCAGAGGAAGCCACGATGATGATCAGAGGGCTGGAGCACCTCTCCTATGAGGACAGGCTGAGAGAGCTGGGGTTGTTCAGCCTGGAAAAAAGAAGGCTCCAGGGAGATCTAATTGCAGCCTTCCAGTACCTGAAGAGGGCCTACCAGAAAGCTGGAGAGGGACTGTTTACAAGAGCATGGAGTGATAGGACAAGGGGTAATGGCCTTAAGCTGAAGGAGGGGAGATTTAGATTAGATATTAGGAAGAAATTCTTCCCTGTGAGGGTGGTGAGGCACTGGAACAGATTACCCAGGGAAGCTGTGGATGCCCCATCCCTGGAAGTGTTTAAGGCCAAGTTGGATGAGGCTTTGGGCAACCTGGTTTAGTGAGGGTGTCCCTGCCCACAGCAAGGGGGTTGGAACTAGGTGATCTTTAAGGTCCCCCTCCAACTCTTGCAATGACAACTGATTTACATATTCTTTTGGAGACAAGCTGCTATTTAAAATACAGGGCAAGCAAATCAGAAGCAAAGTAGTACCTCTTCAAACGGTTCAATGTCTGCTACTGAACTTCACTGCATAGGTCTGGACACTCGCTGTTGGCAGCACCCACCTGCCAGCACAGGAATGGATGTCTAGTCACTTGGTCCCAGTTCTCTGTGCTTCCAGCTGTTATGCTACATTAGAAGACAGAGAAAAAACCCATAGTAAATATATTCCTAACATATTTTACATAGACAGTACCTACTGCATCCCTAAAAGGCTTTGCAGTCAAACAGAGAAGGTGAAGAGGTTTGGCTGGTCACATATGGGAATGAAAGAAGAATGGACAAATGAACCACTATTCAGAGAGACTTGGATACGCTACATGATTGGGCCAACAAGAATTGCACGCGACTTAGCAAAGATAAAGTCCTGGACCCAGAATGAAATAATCCCAAGCAGCAGCACAGGCTGCTCCATTAGCACTAGCCTACAAACATCTGCAGTGAAAAGCTAAGAGACAAATGAATACTGAGATCCCTCTGAAATTGGTCTGACCAATTCTCCAGCACTTCGAGCTTCCCGTTCTGAAAGGCACAAGACGGCACATACTTCCCCCTTTACAACCAGGTAAATCTACGTGAAGGGGAAAAAAAAAAATCTAACGAGGGAAAAATATAACCAGAAGATTCTTAGACTGGATAAGTTACATCTAACCACCCACTCCAAATGCATATATAAAAGATATTCTTACAATACAGAGTGACAAAAAGTAGTAATTACATTTAAAAACAAGCCATATAGATCACAACATAAACACACACACAATCCGTTCTAAACACAGAGCTGAAGATTGAAATTACAGGACAGGATTGTGAGATCTGTGGATTTTTTTTTTCCTAAACTCAGTGGGTTGAGGCCATAAAAAAAAAAAAAAAAAGATCAGTATTAGCTGTAGAGCAACAGTTACCTGGAGAATAAGATGCAAGTCCCTTCACTCTTCTTAAGATGTAGTTTTCTGCTTCCCACAGCTTTACAATCTGCGTTACATTTAGGAATTTTACTTTGGTGGCATTACAACAGTCAGGCTCCCCTGTATTCCTTCATTCTCCTCCACAGGTAACTGTCACTTCAGGAGCAGTCTATATATAGAACCAGTGATCCAGCAACTAATATCCAGCACATTTTCTGGCTTTACCAAGTCTTTTTTACCAATTATTTTGCTTAGACATTTTCTCTCAAATTTCAGATGCTACTGCCCGAAATAAATATGCTATCCCTTTTCCCTTCTACTCTTATCAAACTCCTTAAACAATTTTATTTTAGACGCACGTATAAATGGAGGATACTTTGGTACTCCCACCCATGAACAAAACCAGTCTTTCAAACACCTAACTCATCTTAGAGCATATTGCTTCAGTCCCACTTAATCCAAAAGAGAACAATCAAATAAAACATAACAGTGAATTAAAAAGCCATTTCAGTGTTGTATACAAACTCCAGATTCCCTACCTATTCTAAACAGAGAAGAAACTATAATTAGTGTACTGTCATTAGTATACTAGCATATAATAGTACACTATTAAGAGAAAGATGCAAGTCCTTCACGCATATAAACAGGCGAACAGACCATACATTTCTAACACATGAAACTGCACTGAGAAACTAAATTCCATACAAATCTGGCAAAAGTTTTTATATATACAAACTGAAAACTGCCTGGAATCCCCAGAGTTAGTTATCTGGCAAAAATGACTCACAGCTAAAATATTCCTATTATGAAAGGTCACTAAGTGCATTTAGTATTTCAAATCAGAATTACTTGTAATTTGCAAACAACTCTATGCCAGTTCAGCTTGTCATTAGCATATCACTGCAGCTAAAAGAAGCAGTGGCCAAAAAAAAGAATAAACTGAATAATATAAATATATCTAACAGTGGGGGGAAAAATATTGGAAAATGCTTTGTATTTCACAAAGAACGTTTTTTAACATACATTCATTGTTTAAGTCCGCTTTTAAAAAAAATTTTCTAAGAGGTATACCCCAGGAAACAATTTAAGTATTTTATTTTTACTTTCATGACATTACAATGTGTCATGTCAAGCCCCAGTGAGCAGAAGAATGCTTGATTGGATGTGTGTACTTGGTAACTTCCTTAGTCCAAACAAAAGACTTGGAAGAACATCTTTAAGGCCTTTGGTTTTTGTGTTAGCAATTTAAGCATGAATACAAACAGCTCTCCAAAATATCATCCAAACAAAAATTGGCTCAAACATTATAAAATAGTTGTTTTTGTTGTTTAACAGGAAAAAATGGGAAAGAATTTATTGGACTCATTCTTGTAGTTTTCAAGAATTCATGTGCTCTTCTAAAAATAATGCTTTTAATAAAGGAAAATATAGGCAGAAATCCATAAAACACATAACAAAAGCAATGATACAGAATATAATTTTCAAGCCTCAATTTCAAGGATTGTTTCTGTTGAAATTCTGACAGAACACTAAAGTATGTACCATAAAATAGCAGTAATGCAGAGAAATCTTCCCTCACAAGCAATCATGTTAGTTACAAACACATCACAGAATACAATGCATTCATATACTAACATTAAAAACAACTTTAATTTTTCCACACAATTTTTCCTAGTATTCACTAGGAAACGACATGTCATCACATTGCTTGGCCTTTTCCTAGACACTAAGTATTCTCCTTTCCTAACTTCATTCTGATAGTTTGGCTCTAAATGTTAAGCAAACTGCTGATGTACAGCAAAGTCTGGTTGGGTTTTTGGAACAATGACTAAGGCCCTGATCCTATTGCTTGTTCCTCCAGGCAAACCTTAATACCTCAGGTAAGCACTATGGCCTATCAATGTGCAATCTGGTAGGAGATTTAGGCTGTAGCCATTCAATAATGCAGTACACCATCACAATATTCATTTTTGAAGACAGGCGAGAATCCAAACAATTTTTTGAAAAATTGTTTTGGGGAAGCATAAAAATACATATTTTTAACTGGTTAGCTGTACTCTTAAGTTTCCAAGTGCAAATTTATGTCACATACTATTCAAATGAACACAGCTTTTGTTCCCCAAACCTCATTTTTTACACCATCCTAAAAAAAATATGTATTTTTATAAGTCATTTAAAAACTGGTAGACACTGTGTGTTAAAAGGATTAATAAATTAAATGCAAGTTGTTCCCCTTATGCACATTACACTAACTAAAATATTATTTTAAAATATGTCAGAGTAAAAATCTGCAGTGATTCCAGAAGAATTAAGAAAGCTGAAAAGTTCTTTTTCTTGTTGTTACATGATATCAGATACTGCTGTCAACCACTGCTTCGTTCTTTCAGCTGTAGTTTTTCTACAAAAATCATGAGACCAACAAAAGATACTTTTGTCCCCTTAACCTCAGCTGCAGACACTTGCTCATTTTTCTGCTGACTGAATTCGAGATTTTCACTTGAAATGTGTCCACTGCAGTAAGGGTTAAAAGTTTATAGAATGCTTCAGCTATGGAGCCATTTCCCCTGCCAGCTTGTTCTGAACAGCCAGAAAACCTCAGATTTTTTTGTTTCATCTTGTCCTTGTCCAGGCCATACTTATGACAGTATGGTTCAGCTATTCCTACTTTAGTTGCATTTTGTTGTACTTAATTTTCCACTTTTTCTCTCTCATTTTTTGTTTGCAGTCATTCTTCTTCAGCTTCTTTGTAGCCACACCTTCATTTCTCGCAGGCTTAGCTGGATTGCCTTTTGTTTCCATAGCTACTGGCTTTCCCTCATAGGGTGTGTCCGATTGTCCTTTCGCTCCAGTCATCTAGACACATATGGGGAGAGAATAAAAAAAAAAAAAAAAAAAAACCAAAAAACCAACAACCAAACTAGAATTAATGATCTTAAATCTGTATTAAGCACAAACATATATTACTACCTTCAGAGAACCACCTTCTCCTTCTTGTCATTCCAGCCAGACTCAGAGGCCATATCTGGACTGGGTGACAGGCACTAGTCTTCCTGCCACCAGTGGGATCTGACCAATCCTGCCTGTTTCTTGCCTACGTGCCCGGATTTCCTTCTGGCAGAAACCTAAGTGCATGGGGTAATTAGGAACTGATGCACAACTTTATTTTGCCCTCATATGAAGTCAGAATGTGACTAAAACATATAACTGGGCCTAAAAAGCAGCTCACAGTCCACTAAGCTAGGCATAGTTAGCGTGTGGCTTTTATACAAATGAGAAAAATCTATGCTGAAGAAAAATAATGCTTGGAAATTTTCTTACTTTTAAAGTGTCGTCCTACCTGTTTAAAATATTAGAGCTGAGAGTGGGATCTTTGGGAAATTTCCAAAGCATGATATGCATCACTTATTCACTAGCATAAATTACAAAGGAGGTTGCATTCCTAAAAAAATTCCACAAAATTTCTATCAAAAGTTTCTATAAATGCAGACAACTATTTTTTCTTCTCATAATAAATTCTATTCTATTTTAAAAACAGTAGCAAGCAACCCCAGATATCAGTGACTTTTAGGCTACATTAATTTTTACTTATCCTAATGATGTCTGGAGAGATCACCATTCAAACATCTAAAACATTTTATTTCTTTAGATTTAACTGCACTCTGAAGAAATGCAGATTATAACTGCTGTGTAAAGTTGTTAATTTTCAGTAAAAAGGAGTAAGGCATCCACACACAATTTTATATTTGTCTGAAACACAGAAACTGTGTTTTCCTAAATTAAGGTACTCCTCATGCCCCTAGACAAAGTATATGTGCCTCTATACAAAATAACACCTTACTCTTATTTTAGAAACAGTATTGTGTATAAATTGTTGCTAATGTTTTACTGTATAGGCAACAGCATACCAATGAGAATTTAAGTGTCTCTATGTCAGGGAAGCCACCTGAATTGCAATGAAGGTTTTCTCAAAGGTGAAGGAGTTCAGAGCAATCAGAGACAGGTGAACAACTGCAATTGTCCGACTGAGCTAACATACCTTAGAGGGGAAAAGGAAACCTTATTTTTGCTGCAGAGAATCACTGTTATCCCTACAC